GGATGTTATAGGGCAATTTATATTAAAAAATCCTTAATAACAGGATTTTATGAGATGATGTCATAATCTTTCATTTTTATAAAAGTGAGTCTTTTATATTTAAAATATCAAAAATACCCTTAAAATTGGGTTGACTGTTTTTATTGAATCAAGCAACCTAATTCAAACCAAAGAGATCCAAGAGTTGGTTCGGTTTGGTCGAGAGTGCGGTTCGAGTCTAATGTATTTAGGTCAGATCCGGATCGAGCTGGGTTTGAATCAAAAGGCAAAGAATGTTACACAAGTGTTGCACCAAAACAAGTATAGCCCTAAAATAATCGGTAGTTAGCACTCCTCTCATCTCCTTTGCCCCTCTTTGATGGCGAATAGCAATAGCATCCTCCCCCCTTTGATGGTGATGAACTCCTTTACTTCTCTTTGGTATTTATAATCGGTAGCGGCATCCTCCCTTCTTTGGTGATGATGAACTCCTCCTCTCTCTGTAGCGATGAACCCCTTTGCTCCTCTCTAGTATTTGTGAACAATGTTAGTATCCTTTACTCTCTAACAATAATGTACTCTTCTATTCCTCTCCAACAACGATAAACTCCTCTGCCCTTCTCTAGTATTTGTGAATGATTATGATATCATTCCCTCTCCGACAACTTCTCTATAACAGTTGTATTGGTGGCATCATCGAACAATGGAGATCTCATCTCCTCTTGGCTGTGAAGGATGGTGTCTTTGTTGACAATGGCATCCTCCCCTCTCCGGCAATGGCAAGCTCCTCTCTCTCTCTCTAGCAACGAACCTCTCTGGTCCTCTCTAGTATTTGCGAATTTAGTTGGTATCCTTTACTCTCTGACAACAACGAACTCCTCAACTCTCTGACGATGACAAACTCCTATGCCCTTCTCTGGTATTTGTAAACGACTACAACACCTTCCCTCTCGGGCAACGACTTCTCCATAACATTTGCGTTAACAACATCACTAAGCAATGGTTATCTCATCACCTCTCTGGTTACGAACGATAGTGTCTTCATTGACGATGGCATCCTCCTCTCTTCAGTGGTAAACTTCTCCTTTTTTTTCAAAATTTTTTTTTTTGATGATTTTTCTCGTTCATCCATTAAGTATGTGCACTAATCCTAAGGGTGTTATCATTTTTTTTTTTTTTTGTGAAATAAGGCAAGATTGATCTAAAACTAAAAGTGTGTCTTTATTGATGATTTTTTATTATTGAAATGTCAAGATTTAGGTCTATATCAATAAGCTTAGTAGAGATATTCAGGAGAAGCATATGTATATTTGGAACACCTTTAGGATTATTATTGATAGTTTTCTATATTCACAGTGAGGTTTGGAGTATAAATCAAGTGTAACTCAAATGTAAATAGGAAAATCAAAGTGTAACTGGAGCGTTAAAATAGGGGATTTGTACGTTAAATATATGATCGAATATAACTCGAGCATAACCAAAGTGTAACTCAAGTTTAAATAGAAAAATTATCTCTAAAACTATCCAAACATTTATGTTGACATGATAACATCATTTTTACATGTGTAGTATCAATTTTTCTATTTTTTTTTATTTTAGGTTGTTGAATTGTTTAAATAAAGGATATTATTTTAGGTTGTTGAATTGTTTAAATAAAGGATGTTCATGGTTAAATTTATGATCGAGTATAATGCGAGTATAATTTTAGTAATTTGTTAAAACCTATTGAAACTTCTCTATAATAATCATAACATAATTTTAATATGTTTAGCATCATTTTTTTATTTTAACATATAACTCGAGTTATAGTGAATATAACCGATCAAAACTTATTAAAAACTGCTATGACATGATTCTAAGTTGATTAATACCATTTTTTTAATTTTTTTTTGATGATTTTAGTGTAATTAATAAAATTTGACATGTGGTGATCCGAGCAAAAGATATCTCAACAAGTAATTATCCTAAAATTCACTTTACAAATATTATCAAAAATAAAAATACAATAAGGATTATAACATCAATTACAAAATGATAACTTTAGATTCAAAACTATCACAAGTTTACAATGTCTTATAATATTATGGCACATTTGCCAAAAAATACTATCCTACTCATAAATAGCATATACTTAAACGACATTAAAAATTAATACTACTAAACTATAAACATGTATTCATTTAATACTATATATTTGTTGTTGTTGCGATGAATGATTCACGATGTACTGAATGATAAGTCGATGCAATCAACACTTCAACAATATTGTAAAGGACAATGTCGAGGCTTCAATAACACTATACATGCTTTACTAATATTGTGTTAAATCATATAGTGATTTAATGAGGCTACATAGTTAAATAAGGATATAACGATGAACCGTTGATCATCGAGGTTCTACAATGCTTCCTTGAAGGCGATGGTGACCCATTAGAAAAAGGATGTTAATAATGGCCACCTCGGGATATTAGTGATAACTACACTATACCTTCGTTGCTCACCAAGGCTCAACAAATGGTTTTATTGATGATGATGACCACGTACATAAATGAGAAGAAGAATGGCGATGCTAGCAATTGCTCATCATTGAGGCTCATGGCCATGATTACTATGATCAAGGGGAAGGTTGGATGACAACAACTAGGCTACAACTTGATTGCCTCATTGATCATCAAGGCTCAATGCTCAACCGATGATCATGATGATGACAAACAAGCCGACGTATTATTGGCATAAATTTAATATCCTTTTGCCCCCTTGGCAATGATGACTGTGACTCCCCTTCCTCTCCTCTTTGATGATGGCTTATTGGCAAGAAGCCATCGGCGACAGTGCCACCACTAACACCATTAACGGGACTCACGTTTCTCTCCTGTTCTCACCTACTACTGCTTTAGACGACTAGTGCACATGCTGTCCTTACTTCTTGTTGGCAACAATGAAGGAGACGATGATGAGAAAGACCACAATGTTGCTAGCCACCGTCGACAAGCAGGTTGATAACGATCTTCTTCAACATTGTTGTTGCATTGGAATAATGGAGTAGTGGGGTGAGTTAGAAAACAAAAAAAGAACAATCTAGACCATAATAATAATAAATTAAATACTTAGTTTTATTAAATCAATTAGTTTAATAAAATTAATTTTATTTAGATTAAACAATAAATCAGTTCAATCTAAAAAAACTAGATGCTATGATCAATGGACATCTATTATCTTTTTTTTATTTTACAGAGGATATTTTAGTCTAGAATGAAAAAAAAAGAATTTCTTTTGATAAAAACTAAATATGAGAATAGATAAAATTTTATTATTAAATTATTTTAGCGAATAACCCTTTTTATATGCTGGCAATAATAAATTAGAAAAAAGATTCGCTCCCTTTACGCTACTTTTATCGACCGGTCTATAAAAGACGAGCTAAGATGGGATGAGTTGAAGCCACCAGCAAAGGCGAACTCAGTAATGGCTGTAACTAAATCCGCCAAGCCGTTCCCTTCAGCTCTCCTCCTCGTTGCTCTCGTTCTTATCATCTCCGCAGGTGAAGAAGCTTTGTCTTCTCTCTCTCTCTCTATATATATATATAATATGATCTGTTTAACTCTTTTTCTGCTGTGTACGTAGATATGGAGGTGGCTGCGAAACCGATCGTGTCCTGCGGCCCCATGCCGTATTGCACCAATGACAAGTGCACAGTCTACTGTGGACGACAAGGGTATTGTCAAGCGGGGCCCCAGCCAACGTACCTTTACTGTTGCTGTCAGGGTTGACCAGTTACTAGTAGTCTTCGACATCCATGAACAAGACGACAAAGAACATCCTCT